ATTTTCAAGTGTGTTGTGTGTGATCAGTTGTGTGTGTTACCCTCTAGAACAAACTAAACAATTCTCGAAATGGCTGGCTACTTGTGGTCTATAGTTCCCAAAAAAGTAAGTAAGAAAACAGGAGCCCAAGAAGCTTTTCAGTTTTTACCAACTCTTCTTCCTGTGGAAAACCGCTTCCGTTGTGTTCTGAGGCTGAACAACCTCTCCAAACATTTAAAATAGGCTTAAGACGTTCTCTTTGAATAAGTATAGTTAAGGAATTTTCAGGGATCTGAACCATCTTAGTTATGCTGCTATAGGGCCTTAGAATATCGGGGATTTCCATGGTGCACTTGAATTTTCTCTCTTTTCCTCTCCTTCTTCTTTCTTGGCAGCATTCAGGTTTTTTCCCATTAATTTGCATGTTATAACTTCACTTCTTTTCCCGGAGTTCTTGTGGCTTTAATGTTCCTGCAGGGTTACTTTTTCATGATCCTGGTGGAGCCTTCCTTGCCATGGGTTCCTCTTTGCCGTCGTACCGTTCTTCATTGATCATCATCGAATTTTCAATTAACTTTATGAGTTGTGCTGCTTGTTGTCTTACATTTGTTTTGTGTCTTCTCTGTCTCTCTCTCTCTTCTTCTCTCTTTCTCTCTTTCTCTCATGGGTACTGTTGGGGTCTTTGTAAAATGTTATAAAGGAAGGTCGGTTCTAGAAACCTTGCTTCTATTGAAAAGTGTCTGGATTAAACTCTTATGAAATTGGCGCTATACAATAAAAATAAAAGAAAAATTAAATTAATTGATCAGGTTTTATTCTTATTTGATTCTGGAACCAAAAACAGTTGTTGATTTTAGCACAATTTTTAAAATTATTAGGCGGTACAAGTAAATAGCAAGAAACAACAAAACGAAGAGGATGGAGGCATTGTATCGTTAAGCTTGGTTGCAAACCGGACGGCTGATGCTGGTTCACTGAAGGGCCAACTGCGTGCGCTGTAGACAGTTTAATTGAACGTTTTTACAAAAGTTCTTCTTCTGATCCTGTTTGTTTCTGACTGTTATTGACGAATAAAACGGCCTGCAGCGGTCACTTTGAATCAGGAATAAATTCAATAACTTATTTTTGATCAAACGAGCTATGAACATATGAACAAAATCAGTTTAACCATGGGACTGTTTTATGTCCCCTCGGAGTAACTAGCGACGGGATTGAATTTACAATTGAAACATCTCAGGGAACATTTGCCACTTGATCCCTTTCAGTGTTTCCAGGTTTTCCAGTGTTTCCAGGAAAACGCGTGGGAAAAAAACTCGGACTGTTGTGTAAAAACAGGCTCAAACTTGAATGTTATGATTAAGAGCACTTGCAGTTTTTTCAAAAAAAACAGGGTTCAGTTTAACCACGCTTTAAAGACCTTTAATTGAACCGCAGGTAACGTGTTCACAGCAGAAAGAGCGGATAAGAAGGGGAAAAAGTTGTTTTCAATGTTTGGTTCGGTTTTAGAGTTAAACAGGAATGAAATCAATAACAAATTATTGCAAGACTACAAACTACCTTTGTTTTCTGAAAAACTTTGCAGGTTGAGGAGCATAATGAAAAGAACACAATCAGGCTTTTCAAAGAGGAGTGTGTAAGTTTAAAACAAGCTTGCAGGTTCGGAAAACCCGAATCCGTCGTTCTTCCTGGATTCCGGAACTTTTAACCGATTCAAAAAGTTGAGAAGGGAACAACGCAAGCCAGCAAACAAATTTTTTCAAATAAAAAATTTAAATTACAAATGTTTTGATATTTTTCAAAGTCACCTGTTGTCTTCCTTCACCACACCTCTTAAGGTTTCCTTCTTTCGCTTCCGAGCTCCTTCATTTTAACTGACAAGGTTATTGACCACTTCTCCTTTTCCCCCTCATCACTTTCTCCAAAACAATAACAACCAACAAACACCACCCAACCAACAACACAACCACCTTTCTTCTTTCTGCTGTCAGATGAGCCACGCTTGGTGGTTTTTTTCCCTCCTCCTTCCTATGCGACAAGACGGCCGGGATCCACGTCAAGAGAACGTCTTTTCCAGAGGTTCCTGGCAGGGCAGGGGGTTGTGGCTTGAGTCCAGGTCTTTTTTGTCTGAAACATGACCGGCTGAGCAGAGTCTGACCGCTGGAACACGGCTGGCAAAAGACAGAAGAGAGAGCGGAATTTCAGATAAAAAACTTCAATTTTACAGTTTCCAAGGAAAGTTGAATTAGTCTTAAAAGTAAAAAAGCTCTTTAACAATCATTAAAACATCTTCTTGATGTTTTACATCAGTGGTTCCAACCCGAGGGTCGGGACCCCGTTTTTAGCGGGCGCAAACAGGGGGTTGGCGAGGCCTTTTACGATTATAAAAAGTATGAAAGCTTTCACAGTATAACCAACAGTAGGCCGATTTTCTTAGGTATTAACAACAAGAGTGACAGAAACAAACCCAAGAAAAGAAAGAAAGAAAACACTGAAAAATTCGTCTGAAGTCTGTCATGATTGCAACACATAAAAGAACAGGAACAATTTATAAAAAAAATATCATAAACTGATCGATTCAATATTCGGCAGGAAAACATCTGATTTCACAATGCGGCAACATTAATTGCAGCAAGCAATTTTTTTCAATATATTAATAAATAATACTTTCCTGGAAGGACTATAAAACAAATATTCTTACTGGAGAAAGTGTTTTTTTATTTCTCCTCTTCTTTGCTTTCGTTTGGCCACCGTTACTGTTACATCCACAGCAAACTTGCCCTGGACAACTGTGGACTTAACAAGGTAAAGTTTAGTGTGTTTCTTATAGCTATATATTTGGGTTTTGGTTATAGTACATTCGTTTTAAAAGTTTCAAGTTTGTTCTGCCAAAAGAGGAGCAACAGGAGGGAAAGGGTCGATTAACCAATTACAACCCAACAGAATAAAAGCTAGGCAAAAAAACAATACGAAAAGTTAAAAAAAAACTGCCGACATGATAAACTATTACTTATACAATACGAAACAAATAATTTCTTGTAGAGGCAGGGTTGGCAGTGATCAGAAAAGTTATAAAAGGAGGCATGAGAGGTTGTGGCTGGATTGATCTTTGTAACTGTTCCCGTCATAAACAGGAACAAACAAACTGAAAACAAGCCAACTGAGTGAGTCCGGGACTTTAAGGACGTACGAGGAAGTACTAAAAGAAATAAAAGTTGCGGTTTCCCGTTTGAGATTCTTGAGCGTGACTCTTAGAGTGTCAAAATAACGAAACTCTTCACCGTCTCCTGACCTTTTTTCCTTAACGCCGTCAATGTCGTGGCGATGGTTTCCGTCGACGGCGGACGTTAGCTCTTCTCGGGTCAAGCCAGCTTCTTGTGAAATCAGGGGCTTTTCCCCCCAAACCCAAGCCAGTTGCGGCCCGTGCCCAACAGGGCCTTTACTGGTTCCCTTCAAAAACCGTCCCCAACAGAAACAGGAACCCGCCGTGCTGAAGCGGAAGGAACCACTGGGGACCTGGAAGTCAGTTAAAACCCACCTAACCAGTCTCTGACCCAGGACCCAAACCACCGGATTAATGAACACCTGATCTTCAGAGCGCTTGCGAGGATGAACTCTCAAGTGAAATGTAAATCTGTTAAATTCCCTAGAAGGCAGGATGGGCCTCTTTAACCCATCCCAAATGACTGCCAGGGATGGCAGGTTTCAAGGTCCGTTGTTACTTAAATGCAGAATCTTTTCACTTAAGAAGTTAATGAATGTGAACTCAAAACTTCTTTCATCTTCAGCTGCTGACACCAATAAATTACAAGTGTAATTTGATTCAGAGGGGCAATAAGACAATAAAATAAAACTGTTAAGGTTGATTCCCCAGTCGAACAAATGAAGCGGGTTTTCTTGGAAAAAAACAAAAGTTAGGCCGGTTCAATTCTACAGGGTCGCGCTGTGCAGCGCCAAATCTGTTGATTGCATTCCATTTGAATTAACTACGGTTCCACTCAAAACTGGGAGACAAAACAGGGCTGGTTCTAGATGGCACCAAAAGGAATTTTCTTGTTACGTAAAGAACGATTTCAAAAGAGCCAGAGGCTCACTTAAAGAGTGTTTTCTGATTTGCCTCCATTATCTTGATAAAACTGTTCAAAATCAACGTTTCTAAAGGTTGAATTGTTGACCTAAAAACCGGGTTTGAGGGTGCGTGAGAGGGTGTGGGCGAGCGTCATGGCTTACGGATATCTTTTGTTTATTTAGGCGATTTTCTTTTTTCTTGGGGTAGCCTAATAGCTTTTACAGAAAAGAATATAGCAGGAAGGTATAAATAAGCTGATCCAATTTGAAAGCCGGCCTTGTTAATAATATTTTCCACTTGCAAAAACTCCTAAACACTTCCTGCCACCATTTCAAATAAAAAATGGGGCTGTTTAAAAACAAGGCTTTTATTGTAAAAAACATGCTAGAACTTCTGGAAAACAAACGGGTAAGTTGTGGGGCTTCCACATTGTGCCATTACCCGGGAACAGGTAATATATAGTATTAACTGAACGTTTTCATTTTTTTTTCTTTTTTCGGTTTTTCAACCACACAACTTCTTTTTTGTAAAACCCATAACATCACTGACTTTAACTTCCTGTATCAGCTCCACCTGCGTCTATTACAATGGTTTTAAATATCTGTATGTCTACTGTAGTGCACTAGATGGCCAGC